GACCTGCTCCCACAATGCCGTATGTGTCTGACACAGTGGACGTCGTCGCTGGATCAACACGGAGGCCCAGATCAAGGTACGGTAGGCGTTATTAGGGTTGCGCTCCCATAACAATTGCCAAATATGGGCAGGGCGGTTTCGGCCGTGCCAGCCACCTGCGCCCTCCGCCATCTCCGGTCTTCTGGACTTTGTCTGGACAGCGGGCAGAGGTGGGGAGAGAGTGTGTTCGATACCGCGCAAGTCTACCTTCGCTGTATTCCAGTGCAAGCCACCGTCCCTGCACTATCTTGTTGTGGAGCCTACGGTAGACATCGTCGAAATCGACGGTCGACCTGTCAGACATCTTCCGAAACTATGATTGAATTGGTTTTGCATTTCCCATGCAAATCCAACCCCATAAAAACGCTGACACGCGACATCAACACGATGGTTGAACTGTCGTTTCGTGTGAGTTGTTCACATAATAGGCAGCAGGCAGTAAGTGTATATTACGCAGTGGTTGACGTGTTTCAGCCCATAAACCTTAAATGTAGTGATGTATACCACGAACAGAAATTAATTTATAAGGAAATTAAAAAGTCGAATTTCCAAAACCTGTATATGAACCGGAAAGCAAACAGGGAAAGCCGCGGGGACCCACTGGTGAGCCGGATCCCCGCAGTTGTCTCAAGCAGCAGCACAACATCTTTAAGCTAGTACCTGGGTCGTTATTAGGGTAAGTTACAACCTCAGTATGGAATTCAATAAGTACATTTGACCTATTATGACTTGCGTCTTGCGTTGTCTACTCAACTTCAGTTTTTATGAAGTAAAACCTTCCCGTGGGCGCGATTTCTATACAGTCACATGGATTGTTTGCACGCAAACTTGCCTCCTCTGTTGCTTTTAGTCGAGATTTTAAACGCGATACAATGATTGGAAGTAGTATGCTCCATGGCGATTTGTGGTCGCTATGACAACACCAGTCTGTGCGCTATTTTGCAGGGTGGCCGACAGGCCTGACGCCGCGCTGTTGTAATTCTGCCGCAATTGCATATCGAGTATTTGGTCGCTCCACCAGGTGCCACGCCCGGCAACTGGTAGTTAGGCT